GTTCCGTTCCAGCCAATCACAGCCCGGCACGTATGCAGTTTACGGACTACGGCTGTTTGAAAGGTTTTCTTCCATAAAATTAATCGATTCTAGACTAATTCGACTCAACATTTCCAAAATACGTATAATTTTTTGGAAATAATCCATATAAACTATGCTATAAACAAAAAATTGTAGGATTACTTACCGAGTGTGCACCGTTCGACTACGCCATTGCTTAATTTAAGCTTGTTTTCGTCGTGGAGCTTGTCATAGAATGGCGCTCGCGTGCTTCCTGATAAATTATTTTTTTTGCGAAAAATTCTGCGCTGAACTTTGGAGACATCATTAATATAAATATAATTTTTATGGACGTTAAATAATAAATGGTTTTTAGTAGGCCCACTACTCGTTTAAACTCAACGGTTTGTACAATATCCGCTATTGGTCTAGATTCGACAAATCCTGTCGCGACACGAGTCGGCGATGACGTTTTACCGAATTATACGAGTTTTTTTAGCGTGTTTGTACGAATACTGTCGCAATTTTTCGCCGTCATATAGGAATCCGAACTATATGAACCCGTGTTATAGGGGGTGTCGAGTGTACGTCACAAAGTTGGGCTCCCATTGATGTTTATACTATTTAACAATAATAATAATAATAAACCCCCCGAGGTGTGCCACCTTGCCGTGGTGGGGGGCTTATCTGCTCCAAGGAGGTTGATTGCTGTGCTGGCGGTAGTTTACTACCAGTAGGTTCAACCAAGCCAGAGAGGTCTCAGCTGAGGAGTGGTACTAAGTGCACCCAACCATTAAAACACTATGGAGAAACAAATAAAAACCAAGTCTATACTGGCTCGGTCGTTGCCCAGAATAAAAAGGACCGCGGCGGATGTTTCTGATTCTGGGCATCCGTCGTTAAGTGGGCTACAGAGTCAGAATACAAATGAACAACCACGGAAGCGGCAGAAATACACAATGTCAGAGAACCGTGCAGTTATGCAATGCTACTATGCATCAGAACCTCAGAAACGTGGTTACCAAAAGAGGATGCACCAACTGTAGAAACAAGAATACCCTGATTCACAAATAACTGAACTTCGACTTGCTGATCAGGGAAGATTTATTGTCAGAACTAAGGTGTTCAGTGAACTTGAACTTGAAGAGATTCAGAGGCTCAGTGAGACTGCTTGGCAGAAGTTCTCACATCTGACAGTGGCAGAAACTCCGACGATACGCATCAGAACACACCGAACCGGAAGTAAACGCGAACCCTTTACAACAAATTGAAGGACAGGCAGCTGAGGCACTGGATGAACAACCAGGAACTTTAGCAACAAGGCAACAAGAGCTTAAAGATAAAATCATGGCTACCGTTTAATTTAGATAAAAGTGCCCGTCTTTGTGTTCATACATAGTATCAGATATTGATACTTTGCACCAATAAATCCGAATAATCAATTCCTGATCGCAATGAATTTTTAACATTTTTCATGAAAGTATATCAAAAACGCAATTTGGATATTTATTGTTATGAAATATGTTAATTTAAATTGTAATATTTACAGATAATCGTTTTATTTTTACAACTCCAGATAAAATAATCCCCGAAGAAAATATAACGCATATATTTTGGTATAAAATGATTCAACTATATTCCCTCTGTTATGTATATAACAGCCGGGAAAGTAAAAATCGTTTTTCTGTCTTACTTTTAAGTCTAATCTATGTAAGTGGAGAAATTTGAAAGTGTGATTATCGAAAATTACTGAAAAGTATAGTGGGTTAGATTTCCAGCAATTGAATGCTTGCCACACGGTGAAAAAGTAGAAACTATACTGTGACTGTGGGAGCAGGTTGTAACAGTAAGCTTGGGGTAAATTGTAACGTTAAACATATAAGGGACCAAGAAAACTAGCATAAGATGAAACTTTGTCCACGTTTCTTTATGCATCGCTCGAGAAGCGCTTTACATCAAACACTCTGAAACCCGTTTCTAAATCAACGCTGCAATGTAACGGACCGTTTCTAAACGTTTACTGCAGGAAATCGCTCGTTGCAGCAAAGATAAAGCAGCTTTTACGTCCGCTACACGTGTAAAACAAAATGGACGCTCGTGTGTATAATACGATATTATGCTGTAAAAANAAATAATATAACAATAATTTTTATACAGTATGTACAAAATCATAATTAATACTTATTGATTATTAAATTTCAAAGAGTTTAATTATTAAAATCATATCTTTAAACATTTTGAATGTTAATGAGTTATAACAATATATGCATTTGCTATATAAATTTGAATATTTTTCAAACTATGAATATTATATATCATATTTTAAATTAATATCTAAGGGTTGAATCCACAAATAAGTCATTAGTAAAATAAAAAAAGTATTATGTTTTTATAAGGTATAACAAAATATTCAAAACAATTACATAACTCCTGTTACAATGTTGAACATTGTAGGATTTAATTCAATTTTCACTAAGGGAAGTCTCTGTTAAGTATAGTTACAGATCAACTTAATATGTGTGAACTGTTAGTAGAATATATGAAGAATTTGTAATCAGACTATACACAGTTAAAAATTTATACCCTCATAAACTTTAGTAATTAAATTAAAATAATGCAGGTTTGTTTTTCTTTTGTACTTTTGTTCTTATGTTTTAAGTTTAAAGGTAGAATTTTACCTATGTGCACCGTCATGGCAGCAGTCGTGACTGTTCATGCTCCCGACGGACTCCTCCCGGAGGGAAACTGCCACCTAATTGTTTAACATCACTAGTTACTGATTCACAGTAGTTCTTGAACACACGTTTCAATAACTAGTATGTATCAATAACTAACAGGAACGCAAACAGTCGCGACGACGGTGCACATAGGCAAAATTTTACGTTTAAATCTGGATATTAAATATAAGTTTGCAATATGTAGGCATTAACATAAAAGTGGCAGAAGAAGAATTATATTATCCTTAATACATATGTCTGAAATACATTCTATGAATAAAATTAGTCATTTAATGATGTGATTTCAATTATTTTTGTTGCTCCAATTTAGTTTGACAAGTCTTTTATATCTACACCAATTAGAAGTTTGAGATAATTAAGTAATTGTAGAAAGAGTTATATAATTTAATAAAATATTTACTTGTAAGGGCAATAATCCTTCACTACTGATATTTTGTAACGGTGGAACAGCAATTGACGTTCCTTTATTGTCCACCCTTTTAATTCTATTTCGAACATTTTCATTTGGAAGGTCTTTCATTTTAGATAACTTCATTTGTAATTTCTTTGCTGATTTATAATCAATCTTTTCTTTTTGTATCGGACTAAACTTGATGACTTCCACCGGATTCTTTTTCATTTCCCTAAAAATAAAAAAAAAATCGGTAAAATATCTTCGATTCTAAATTTTTTGTTGTTATATAGAATCATTACTGTACAGAGATTTGACTGTATTACATACACTAAATATTAAAAAAAATAAAAAGTGAGAAAAACATGAAGGAGAGGGAATGACAGAGGACAATAGAAAGGATAGATAACAATAGAGTAAATATAGAGCTCAATTTCCTACAGGAAATAATGCATAATGGAAAATACTAAATAGTAGTAGTGAATAATATCCTATCATTATTATTATTTTATATTTTTAGTTAATTAATAGTTACTTTTTATATTGATATGATATAATCACCTGTTAACATACTTTCAAATCATTTTTCTTTTCAGAAATTAACTGTTCTTCTATATCAAGTTGATTTTTCTTTTTTTCTAATTCATTGTTCATTTTCTCTTCATAATTCTGCAACCTTTCAATTTCTTTTAAGAGTTCATCTTTTAATTGTTTAATTTCTAATTGCTCTAATTTTCTTTTCTTCTCTATTTCCATTTGACATTGGTCATGTTCTTCTTTTAAAAGTTGAAATTTTGTTTCAAATTCCATTTGAATTCTAGATGTAGCATGTTCTAATTCATTCTGATAATGTAACTGTTCAGCTTTTTTAATGTTTTCTATCTCTATTTTCTTCAGTATTTCTAACATATCATTTCTTTCTAATTTAGTTTTTGTTTTATTGGTGTCTTGAATTTGTAAAGTTTCACGTAAATTTTTTTGTCTCTCTTTAAACGCTTCATCAATTTCATGTAATTTTTCAGAAATTGTCTTTGTTTCCTTTAAAGTATTCACTTGAACTTCAACATCTGAAAAAGATTTCATTATATGCTGCTTCACACAATGTCTTAATAAGGAATACAAAACTCCTTTATGATCCATCATAGAGAATTCCATAATGAAATTCCTATAAAAGTTGGAATCTCTTGAAATACCCAATAAATCTAATATGTCATATACACTAAACATATTTTCTGGATTTGTAGACATAAATAATTCACTCTGAATATACGACAAACTAAGACGATAGTTCAGTTTATCTAAATGATTGTATATTAGCCAATTGGCAATCTAAAAAGAAAGTTAACTATATTAATATGTAAGACAAACATAAAAATTAAAATGTTATTAATATATTAATTAATATTTTAAATGCAGATATGAATTTAATAAAAAAAATTTAAAGGTAAATAAAATACAAGTTGACCCCCCTATAACACTGTTGATAATTTCGTTTTATATGAATTCCATGTTGTACGAGTCACTTAGATTTTACAAATACGTGAGCCTGCACATTTTACAATTCATGGCCCTGCACACGTATTTGTAAAATCTAAGTGACTCGTACAACATGGAATTCATATAAAACGGAATTATCAACAGTGTTAT